CAAAATATAAAGACCTGCAAATAGAAGTAGAATGACTATGGCAAAAGAAAGCAAAGATAGTACCAATAGTAATAGGCGCCTTAGGTGCAATCCCCAAACACCTAGAGCACCACTTGACCATCGGCATTGACAAAATCACCATCAGTCAATTGCAAAAGGCAGCTTTACTTGGAACAGCTTATATCCAGTGACGATACCTTTAACACCATCAAGCAACAACATTTGCCTATCCCGGGTCCTTAGAAAGGACTCGATAGGTGGATAAAAATGCCAGATCCGGCCTAAACATCTGGCTGACCGCAACCAACAACAACAACAACAACAACAATAATGACAACTCAAGGGCACTCTCCCTGGTGGCTGACCATCCAACCCTGGGTAACACTATCTCACTGCTACCCACTTCACTTTCAGGACTAGCAACTGATGTGGAGCTCTACAGAGACCCCAAAAGATTAATTGACCCCAATTGACCTTCCATCATTTATCAACCACCTATTGACCACCAGACAATTACTGACCCCCTTTTGACCCCCAGATATTTATCAACCACTTCGATAGCCCCATCAATTCTTTGGGGAACCCTGCCTTAGAGTAATTCAAATTCTAGCATTATAGGAACATGGTGAGAAAAATAACATTTACTGTATCCATTGTACTAGAAACACTGTAGTTATATAACTCCTAATAACATAAATAATCTTATTTCTTTTACCTCTGCAGGCTGTATATAGTTCTATCAAGAATGAAAAGCTACAATGGGCCATGTGAGTACCCCTATTTAATGCCTATAGTAAAAACTGCATTCCTTTTCTTAGAATGTTTTAGTCTTGCCTTTTCCTTTGAGCTTTCTACTGGTTTATTTTCAGCATAAATCCAGGATGCCTCACAATGAAAATAAAATGTGCTGCTCTCTGCTTTACATCTTGTTGTAGACCCCTGCTCCAGTTGGATGTAATTGCGGAGTGGATCATAATTCCTTTGAACAAATCAGGTGGTTTATTAAGAATTTTTAATATCTATCATTCATATTTCCCTCTTGATAAAAGCCCTATCCATACAGCCTCTTTGATGCAACGTGAAGACATCCCTTTTTCTCATTGTCAGCCTATTGTTAAGGCAATCTAAAGATGGCTTTCAGTGTTCAGGTGCGGGAGTGAAGTTTTCCATGTTTTGCCGGCCCAAGATATTCCATGTAGACAATCTAGGACACATGGAGGAGATTGCTTGGGATGATGCAGAGAAGGTGAGCAATCTCTTCAGCTTCAGTTGGTCTGATAGGTCTGCTGCAAGACTGCCACTGTCCCTCCATTTGCTGCCTCTCTTTCTGTTCTGCTATGCTGTTTTGGCTGCAAGGGAGGCTGGAATCCCCAGCTTCCACAGCCACCTTGTGGGTTTATTTTCCTTCTGGTGAGTTGACCAATCAATCTAAAGTGATCACTGCCTCTGCTACTCAACCCAGAGTACCCAACAGATGGATACTGCATATACACTTCTTCTACTCTTGTATACCAGTTCTGTTCATGTGACATTGTGGTACAGGGAGTCCGGAGAGGCCCCATGAACATTCATGTAGAGACTGCATCTAGGTTCCACAGATTTGGGTAACCAGTACATTGCATTCAAGTGAGATAAATCCTTTGTTGCCAATTAGTGGTTGTTAGATTAGTAGGTCAACACTCCTTTGGGGGAAAAAAAATTGATTGGACAGAGCACCCAGGCTATACAAACACTGTCCTGGCACACATTCTGTATAGTGATTGGTGGTGGCTGAAACTTTTGTGTCTCAGCCAAGAAAACCACCAATGGTTTCCCATATATTTCCCAGATTGACCCCGAACCTGCTGGCTTTTCACAAGGCCCTGAAGATGTGGTTTTGCCAACGGGCTTGAGTCATGGGAGTGTGGTGGAGCCAGTGCAGTGGCTGTACTGATTGTTTTGATGAGTGGCATATTGGGCTGTTAGTTTAAGTATTTGATGATTTTTTTTAGTGTGTGTGTGTGTTTGTGTGTAGTTTTTAAATTATTGTATTCTTTTTTGTTTTTAGATTTGTTTTAATTATTTCTAAGCCACTCAGAGTCATATATATATAAGATGGGCAGCTATATAAATTTCAATAACTAAATAGTTAAATAAAGAAATGCAGTCCATTGGTACAGACAGTGGCCCAGGAGGGTCTTATTCCAGATGCATGGTAAAGGGTGGGCAACAGGAGTCCATCCCACCTCCAGGACAGGAGGAAAGCACAGCAAAAGTGACTGCTGTGTGCGGATGAGCCCATTGAAAGCTGAATTGTCTAGTGTAAGGGACTTTGTCAAGAGTTCAATATAAGATGGGTAGATAAGGAATTGAAAAAGTTTAGTGAAGAGTTTGATTTGTCTTAATGGCACTGTATTTACATGTATGTGTAAATCTTCCTGTTTAGATTTAGGAAGAGTTTCCAAATATTGTGTCTCATTGAGTCTGGGAAGTTTTCCAAGATCAGCATGGGAAGTAATTTTCCTGTGTATTTCTTGTGGAGATGTGAGAATTTCTGATGAAGTAAAGAATGTTCAAAAAGGCAGACTGGGATTTCATTAGAAGAGCATGTGCAGATTATATTAGACTTTAAATTTCCAAAGAAATTTTCACAACACTTGATATGTGATAAAGTTATTGCAGCTAATCAGACTATAACTACAAAAAAGGCAAGAGAAGCACAATATATTCCAGCAGCAAACTATATTCAGCTAAGGTTCATGTGCAGTTACTGTTCAGTGCCCAGCTGGGGACTTACATTTCCTTTACGCCTCTTGAAAGGGTCCAGTCTAAATTACTAAGGAAATTCCAGGTAGCGCCTTGCATTCCAAATGCAGTATTAAGGAGGGAGGCAGGGCTGTCTAAAGTCAAAACAGGTATGTAGATTTGCATCATAGCATACTGATTGAAGTTACTGGGGTTTTTTTTGATGTACTCGTGATATACTCTTGTTACATGCATACTTTTCAAGTTTCTTCTCCAGCACAGCTGTTTAAGTCCTGCTGTTAACTTATCCTATAAGCAGTACTTAGACATAAGTAAAGCATTTGGTAAAGTTGACCATAGCCTCCTTTTTGATAAAATGGAACAGTGAAGGATGGATGGTCCCCATTACCAGATGGAAGGAAGTATGCAGTGGAGTACCCCAGAGTTTTCTTCTGGCTTTGTGCTCTTCAAAACTTTCATAAGTGACATAGACAGTGGGATAGAAGGGATGCTCATCATAGAAGATGATGAAGTTTGCAGATGACATAAAGGAGGAGGAGGGGGATTGCTAACACATCAGAAGACAGAATCAAGGTTTTAAAGGATCTTGGTAGACTTGAATATTGGGACCATAATATCTCCACTCCAGGCTAACTAAGTGATACTATGGAGGTCCTGTCTTAGTGCCTGGAGGCTGTGGGGGTTTGGATGGGCAACAGCAGCCTTCAGCTTAACCCAAGCAAGACTGAGTGGCTTTGGGTGTTGGGCCCCCCTGTTTCAGGGTCTTTCCCATCTCTTGTTCTGGATGAGGTTTTACTACCCCAGACAGATCCTGGGTGCAATCTGGGGGTCCTTCTGGGCTCACAGCTTCTATTTGAAGAACAGGTTGCGGCCGTGGCCAGGAGGGCCCTTGTACAAGTATGTGTTATGTGCCAGTTGTGCCTGTTTCCTAGACTGGGAGGCTCTGCTGGTGGTCACTCACGCTTTAGTCACCTCCCATTTGGATTACTGTAATGTGCTGTACCTGGAACTGCCCTTGAAGAGTATTCGGAAGCTTCAGCTGGTTCAGAAAGTGGTTGTGTGGGTAGTTATGTGTGCTCCACAATCTGCACGTGTTACATCTCTGCTCTGTGAGCTGCATTGGCAGCCAGCTTGCTTCTGGGTTCAATTCCAGCTGCTGGTAATGACATATAGAGCCCTACATGGAATGGGACTAGGTTACTTGAGGGACTGCCTCTCCCCAATTACATCTATTCATCCCATCAAGTCCAGCAGGAGGGGCACATTGTGGGTCCTGTCAGCCAGGAAGTGTTGTCTGGTGGGACCCAGAAACACATCCTTTTGTGCCATGGCACCCACCCTGCGCAACATCATCACCCCTTGGAGATGAGATTGGCCCCAGCTCTGCTGGCTTTTTGTAAGACCCTAAAGACATGGTTTTGTCAACAAGCATGGGGACATAAGATTGTGGTGGAGCTGGTGCGGTGGCTATACTGATTGTTTTGATGAATGGAATTATGGGCTATGAGTTTTATGTATTTTATGATAATTGTGTGTGTATTGTTTTTAAATTGTTGAATTGTTTTTTTCTGTTTTTATATTTGTTTTAATTATTTATAAGGTGCTCAGAGTCATATATATGAGATGGGCAGCTATATACATTTGAATAATAAATGAACAAACAAATAAATAAATAAAGCAAATTATATTGGAATTAAAAAGAAGTGAAATTCCTTTGAAACTTTGAGATACCACAACTGAAATTTTACCAGATATATCTCTGGATATACTTAGAAAGAAGAGGAAATTGAGATATTTGACAATTGTTCTGCAAGACAAAAATATTACATATAAGTTTTTGTGGATGCAGGCAAAGGTTTAGTTTATTTTGTCAATGATGTTAACAAGTTGCTTGAGTCTGTATCTGTAGCAGAACAAGAGAATGAAGACAGAGATTTGACCCAAGGACAAAAATTAGATCACACACATGGCCGCACCCAGAGCTCCAAGGACCCTGTCTACTTCCTGTGAACTAACATCCCAGATAACATCACAAGACTGTTCCTCAGTCACCTCCATAGGACTTACCCAGCTGTAGCTCCAAGCAAATTTGAATGATTTTATCCCCCAGTTACTGAGAATAGTCCTAATAGCAACCCTGTAGATGCTGCACCGATCCATCCTGACCTAAAAGGGACTGGATCACCCTGAACAGGGCTGCTAGCCAATACTTGAATGCAATAAGAGTGGAGTAAAAAGCCTTTTTTGCCACCCTTATCACCACAAGGTGATAACAGAGTCTCTCTGCAAAGACAGTCTGCTCTAGAAAGTAGTTGCTGGGTAACAGACAACTTTGGATGTGCAGTTAAAGATCATGAAATAGCAGTGTAATATATCAGGAAAGGCTATGACCCTGCCCAGCAGGACAATTTGGCTAGGTGGTCTTCCTCAGCCAGTCCATTCAATAGGAAAAGGTCCTGTTGGTGCTGTAATCATAAAAGAGTCTCCCATAATAACTTTCGTATTCCCTTTATTATCTTGTGTAAAGCAGAAGGGGGATGCTGGCATCTGGAGGCTATGGGTGAAATTTAGAGTGTATAGATCTACCATTGATTTCAACCCTGACATTAAGTCCCTGCCCCCCCCCCCCAAAATAACGAATGCATTGGAGCATTGGGAGATGAGATTCTTCATAAATCCTGCTAATTTCTCCCATACTTCTTTATCCATGTCTTTGTAAGGGAGGAATATGAGCAGGGAGGAACCATGAGCAGCAAGGACAGACCTCCTAAGGACATTTGCAGGGCATTGCATCGTTTTCTAGATTTTCATTTCCTTAGAGTCTTTTAATGTGGCTTTATATTAATATACTCACTTCCCTGCTTAGCCTACCCTGTCTTTTCTCTGGTACAGCTTTTAATGTGAAGGTTTTGTATCTAAGCAATTTTGGGTCCTCTGTTAACCAAGTTTGTTAGAGAAATATTATATCATAGTTAGAGATAAAGGTGATGAAATTTGAGTACAAAATTTTAGAGTTCCAACC